GTGCATAGATCAGTGCCACACACTAGATTTTGGGCATATTTTGGTCTGTTAGAAAAAAGTGCCTCCTAAAATTTTAAAGGAAGAAAGACATACGTAGAAAATAAGGGTTGATACAATGAAGGGATAGAAGATGACTGTAAAGATGAAAATTATAAAAGATTTTATAAAAGGACTTGATAAGATAAGAAGTTGTTTGAAAAAAGAAAGAAGATTAAAAAAAAAAAAAAGGGAGAGAATGTGATCAGGCAGGAGACTAGAACAGAACCATACACTAGTGATTTAGGGTATATTTTTATCTGTTAGAAGAAACTGTATCTCAAAATTTTAAAGAGAGAACAACTTATATATATATGCCAAAAATAAGGGTAACTACTATGAAGGGATAAAATATGACTCTAAAAATGAAAAATAAAAAATGTCTTTTTTTTTTAAAAAGAGATCGATAAGATGTTGGTTGAAAAAGGGAAAAAGAAAAAGAAAAAAAAACAGTTAACAAAAATTAACTTTGATGAACTAATGAATTATGGTAAAAAAAAAAGCCATGAATTCTATTTGCAGTATTCCCCTAGCCTGGAGTTCTCCCGTTCTCCTTGATCGGTAAACTTGGTCTTGGCTTGCTGGCTGTTCGTGCTGATCTTCTGGGGGAGGGGCCTGTTGCCGTGGTTTCCAAATGTCTTTGCCGGAGGCTGAATTGCCCCGCCCTTGTCGGTCTGGGCTAAGCAAGCTGCTGGGGTTTGATCTCAGGAGCTTTTGTTCCCTGCAAGCTCTCCGTACAGCCTTGGAGGACCAGGGCAAAGATGGTGGCCTCCCAATCTGCGCCCGGAGGAGCTGAGAACTCGGGGCCCTGCTCCTCAGTGCGCCCCCAGAGAAAAGCAGTCACTCCCTTGTCCCTGGTCTCCGGCCGCACTCCGTGCTCACCCGGCCTGTGACCGAGCGTTGCTATCTCTGGCACCCGACCCCGTGTGGAATCTCCAAACCCAGCAGATCCCTGCGGTGCACTCCCGCGCCGCTCCTCCCCGGGAAGTAAGGGGAGTCTCCCCGGATCTGCTGCCTGCTGGGTCCCTGCTGCAGGAGCAGTGGCCCGACTGGGCCGTGGATCACAGTTTATGGCAACCCCGAGCTGAGAGCCCGCGCCTTGGCTCCGTCCCTGCAGCCGGCTTCCCCGCTCCGATCCCTGGGAGCTCTGCCGCACTCAGGCACCCCCGGTCTTTCTGTGACCCCAAGGGTCCTGAGACCCCACTGTCCCGCGAGGGTTCCACCCCCGCTTAGCCACTGGAGCGACGTCCCTCAGCGGAGCCGGCTTCTAAAAGGTCCGATTTTGTGCTCCGCGGCTCTAGCACTTGCCAGAAGCGGCCGACGGAGGCCCCTCCCCCGCCGTCTCTCCTCCCGAATATCGCCTCGGATTCACTTCTCCGCACGTCCTACCTTCCAGTAAGTGGTCGCTTCTCTGTTCAGAGAGTTGTTGCTACTCTCCTCTTCGATCTCCTGTTGAGTTCGTAGGTGTTCAGAATGGTTTGATCCCTATTCAGCTGAATTCCTGAGACCAGACGAAATCTAGGTCTCCTACTCCTCCGCCATCTTGCTCCGCCTCCGAGGTCTTTCTTCTTTTATAGAATCCCCGTTAATATTTCTTGCAGGGCTGGCTTGGTGGTCACATATTCTTTCAGTTTCTGCCAGTCCTGGATGCTCTTTATCTCTCCGTCCATTCTGAATGACAGCCTTGCTGGATAAAGTATTCTTGGCTGCATGTTCTTCTCATTTACTACCCTGAATATGTCTTGCCAGCCCTTTCTGGCTTGCCAGGTCTCTGGATAGGTCTGATGTTATTCGGATGTTATTCCTCCCTCCATATGTAAGAAATCTCTTTCCCCTAGTTATTCTCAGGATAGCTTCCTTGGCTCTAAGATTTGCAAGCTTCACTATTATATGTTGGGGCATTGATCTATTTTTATTGATTTTGGATGGGGTCCTCTCTGCCTCTTGGACACGAATGCCTGTTTCCTTCCCCAGATTAGGGAAGTTTTCAGCTATGATTTGCTCAAATATACCTTCTAGTCCTCTCTCTATCTTTCTCTCTCTCTCTCTCTCCACCCCCTCAGGGATCCCAATAATTCTGATATTGGAACATTTCATGGCATCATTGTCTAAGTCTGTTCCAATGGGCTACTAGTTGCCTATCACTATCTTCCTCAGCCTCCTTCCTTTCCTAGATCACTAATTTGTTCTTCTGCTTCATTTACCTTGACTGTTAGAGTATCCAGGTTAGACTGCATCTCATTCATAGCATTTTTAAGTTCAGCCTGATTAGATCTCATTTCTGCCCTCACAGATTCTATATTGTCACTGATGCTTTTCTCAAGCCCAGCTATTGACTTCATGATTCCTACCCTGAAGTCTATCTCTGACTTCTTGCCTGTATCCGTATCCATTAGATCTGTGGCAGAGGACACTGTCTCTGGTTCTTTTCTTTGTTGGGAGCTCCTCCTTGTCATTCTGTTGAGGGATGTTTGAGGGAATGTACAGAGTCCAAAATATCAATCACGACCCCCAAGCAAAATGCACCTTAGAAAAAATACAAAGTGGTCAAAAGTTACCACAGATACACCACCAAAGCCAAGATGATCCAAAACAATAAAAAAGAAAGAGAAAAGAAAGAGGGGAAAAAAAGAGTGGGGGCGGGGAGAGCGATTATAATCTCTCAGGGTGGACACAGCAGGGTGATCTGCTCATTCCTGCTTGATTTTTGGTCTGTGTGTTAGAAGACACTATATCCCAAAATTGTAAAGAAATCAGAACTTACATATATATCAAGATAAAATTGAATAGAGTGAAAAACGGGCTAGTATGGGGCATAAATCTATAAAACATATATGTGAAAAAAAAAGTTAAGAAACAACTTAAAAACATAGGTTGGGAAATAAGAATCTATTTGAAACAGGGGCAGGGTTAGTAAAAAAAAAAAAAAAAAGAGAGAATAAGAAAAGAAAGTAAAAAAGAAATGTAAAATTTTAGCCTGAAGTATAAGCGAGTTGTGAGGGAACACCTGGAGCTCCCTATATTATTTTCTCCTGACCCTGAAGTTTTACAGTCTTGTGCGGAAATAAGCTTATCATTTACCTGTTCTTCCAGTCTGTCTTCTGGGGGAGGGGCCTGCTGCTCAGCTCCCCAGGCTTCTTTGCCTCGTGGATTTACCCCACCCCTTGTCAGGGGGATGGGCTTAATGTGAGCTGGTTGGCTGCATGGCTTTGGTTCCCTGGCGTCTTTCTGCTTCTCTGCTTCTCTTTAGAGGGTCAGAGCATACGTGGCCGTGGGGTAATTTCTGGCCCAGTGCCACAATGTCGTGGTCCCCCCTGCCTCAACAAATACTCCAGATCAATCCATCTCCACCTGGGCATGTCCCAAACTCCACAGACTCATGCAACTCATGCCCACAGCACCTCTCCCAGGGGAGTCACAGGGAACCTCGAGCGCCTCAGTGCTTTGTGACTCCTCAACTGCCAGTGGCCCTGGGCTCGCATGTGCACCCTCCTCCACAGCTCCTAGGTCACGCTGGGTGCCGCCCCACCATCTCCTCGTGGGCCACACTGCCCTGAGAGCTGTCCCTGTCATGGGCACAAGCCATTCTATATCTCCCCTAAGATGTTAGACAGCCCGCACCTTCTAGTCCTTTTCAGGGTGCTTAGGCAGAGGGCGGTCTCCCTACCGGCTCAGCTCACAGTTTATGGTGCCTGGAGCAAAAATTCCCCTCTGGGCTCCCTGACCGTAACCAGTGTCCTCGCTCCACTGCTTGGGCACTCTATTGGTTTGGGCTCCCCCATTCTTTCTGAGTCTCCTGGAATCCTGAGACCACAGTGATCCACCTAGAATTCTGCCCTATTCGCCCCCTGTGCCCTTTTCAGAAGGGGATGCCTTTCACTAGAGTAGATTTCCAAGGGTCCCGATTTTTTTGCTCTGGTGTTATATCACTTTCCAGCGACTGGCTTTTGGAGGCTTCCTCCCCCTCTGCTTATCTTAGGATATTTCCCCCAAGGATTCAAGGTTCTGCACCTCCTACTTTGTAAAAAAGTAGTCATTTTTCTGCTTGTGGAGATCCAGATAAATCTTCTTACATCTCAGTTGAATTCGTGTGTGTTCAGAATGGTTTGATAGCTATCCTGCTAAATTCAAGAGACCAGACGAAACGAGGTCCATTACTCTGCCACCCTCTTGCCCCCCCTCTGTCATGAACTGTTTATGGGAATCTTCATGACCTTGGTATTATGTTCCAACACACATCCAAAGTGAAGATCAACAAAGGGGCAAAGATTAGGTAATTTTAGAGGCAAAATTAAAAATCATGGATGACAGGTAAAAATCATGGATGACAGAGCAGGTGTCCTCAATATATTATGAGGATCCCTTGGCAGGCAGCAAATATCTGTCACCCAACAAAGTCCTGGAGGCAATCCAGGCAGCCGCTGCTCTGACAATAAGCCAGATGTTTTAGGAGGATGGGCCTCCAAAGAATCCTCTCTTCTCACCTTTTCTTATTTGTCCTAGATAATTTGGCTTGACTCATCACTAATGTGGATATGCCACAGGCGTCATTCAGGAGCATTCCAAAAGTTTTGGCCCAAAACAGCACTCTCTGCTGTCTTTCCTCACTTTCCCTGATTGACCTGCTCGAATCGGGAGTCATTTTCCTCCTGAGCCACTAGAGAGGAAAGTGCTATGGTGTGCCCTAGAGAACAGAGCTCCTTACAGAGACAGGGAGCTGTCTGAGGGCAGACAGGACAGATGACCTCCTGAGGGTCGACAACCAGACACTGTTGTTATTGCTCTGTCCTCAATGGAAACCACAATCCTGCCAAATGTTTTGATTTTAGAGCCTCTATCAGCTGGGAAAGCCAACGAGCTGGGCTCTTCCCCCTGGGATTTAACTGAGGCATTAAACTGTATTTCAGCAGAACAGGAGAGAGAAACGGTGCACTCACCCAGTCACTGCGACTTTTGTTCCTCAGGTTCCATTTAAAGGGCAGTTCTGCTAGTTACTGCGTCTTGGTTGGAACGGAAAGCCTTTGGAATCACAGTGTTCCTGTGTGTGAACGTGAGTACAAAGAATGCCTGTTCAGGTCGGCACCTCCCTCCGTATTTTGTTTGCTTGTTTGTTCGTTTAATGTGTTTTGCCTGTAAAATTACCTAATATTTGCCCCTTTGTTGATCTTCACTTTGGATCGACATCTCTCTTTGTTGCAAGGATTGTTTCATCATGTGTTTTGGGGATCATCCTATAAATGTTTATAAGTATAATGTGTGCTACAAATGGAGAGAAATACTTCATAGATAGAGGGAAATTTAGAGCCTGAAGCATTTTTCCTGTCAAAAATGATAGCTTTTCTATCTTTGTCTCAATCAGCTATTCATTTCTAGCCTCATTCTTTTGACAAATAATTTTGAGCACCTGCTGTGTGCCAACCAGTCTTGTAGACATTGGGAATACAGCTGTAAACAAAACAGACTAGGACCCTGCTTTCATGTTGTTTATATTCTTGTGTAGAGGGAAAGACAAAAAAAAAATAAAATAACAAACAGGGACCCCTGGGTGGCAAGGTCAGTTAAGCGTCAGACTCTTGGTTTTGGCTCTGGTCTCAGTCTCAGGGTCATGGGATTGAGCCCCACATTAAGCTCACAGCTGAACTCAGAGTCTGCTTAAGAGTCTCTTTCCTCCCCCTCTGCCTTTCCTGTTTGTGCTCTCTCTCTCTCTCTCTCCCTTGAAATAACTAAATCTTTAAAAATAATGGCAAGCAAACACATAGACTATTTCAGACAATACCAAGTGTTATTACAAAAAAAATAGGGTAATGCAATAAAATAATTCGACATTGGGAATACACCTGTAAAGAAGTTGTTTCCTTGCAACAAAGAAAGACTAAGACCTTGCTTTCCTGTTGTTTATAATTGTTTTTAAGAGGACAGAAATATAATGTGTTAAATACAGAAACACTACTAATATATTCAATCTGCCCATTTATTTCTTCATGAAATCAAACAGGATGTTGTTTCATCTTCTGATCATAGCTATTGAAACATATGTGTTTATAATAGAATGTTTTCACATGAATACTTTGCTCTAAAGTCGTTTGGAAATTTTGTATTGATTTATATAATGAAACTCAATAGTTACATCCTTCGTATCTGAAAGTCAGCTATTTGAAAATCTTCACTTTCCTGGAATATAGTTAAGAAGCATGAAGGAAAGAAAGAAAAAATACTCCCATGAACCCAGATGACACCAAAAATCACTTACTAGAGTGTAAACATTGGTTAAGCTATTCCACCTTTTGATTGTTCATAATTCTTTAAGCTGCGGTATCCTCTCCCAAATACAGATCAAATCAGAAAGGGAAAGGAATACCTCCAGACAGTTATGCTCAAAAGAAGAAATGTGTATTTCTGCAATGAGAAAAAAAAACCTGTAAAAGCTAATAAATATCTCAAAAGTCATAACATTTCTGCATCTTCTGGATCGTGTATAGGACCATTGTGATGTTTCACTCATTGTGATGGCATTACTATAACCATCCATTTTGTTTTTGAGCATAACAGCCTCGAGTCAACAAGAAAAGATTAAATCAGTGATAGACAAATAGTACATGTATAATATATTTTGAAAGATCTCTCTGGGGTGAAGATCCTTGATGTCAAAAGAGAGTTTCTCTGTCTTGTGCTTAAGATAGTACTTAAAATAGGTCCTCAAAAAATTCCTGTTGAATTGATCGATAACTTTCTTACTAAATGGTTGATTTTCTTCTCATTGGAGTTAAGAAGACTGTTGTCTATTTTAAAAGAATGAGCTCTCAATTATCCAGAAATCTTAACTCTCCAAAGAGTTCAGGATGATTAAGTCCCTTCTGGGCTTTGATTTCAGTGTCATTTTATTCAGAAGCATCTCAACAGAGACCTAATGTATTTATTTTGTGGTTTATACTCTTTTGAGAGTTAATTATTTAATTGACAGCACAGTCACAGCACATCCCATAATTGTGGAATCAACTCAGATTAAAAATATAAACATTTTAATGTAACTTATAGCACTTGTGTTTTTTCCAGAAATCTTTTGTCCAAATCCTCCCTCTATCCTTAACGGGCACTACACCGGAACTTCTCAGGGAGACATTCCCTATGGAAAGGACATTACTTACACGTGTGACCACCACCCAGCCAGAGGGATGACCTTCAATCTCATCGGGGAGAGCACCATCCACTGCACAAGTGACGGTCAAGGGAGGGGAATTTGGAGCGGCCCTGCCCCTCGCTGTGAACCTGCTGGTCCTGCTGGTTAGTACCCATGTACCCCGAATGGATTCAGAACATCTGGCCAAGATCCTTCATATTTCCATAAAATTATGGTGTTTGTTTGTGAGTTTAACATTGTCATAAGTGAAAATGTCAGAGTTGCATGCCATAGTTAAAACAGATGAGTCCAACAGTGCCAAGCTGTGTTTGAGTAGTAAGATGTGAATAACTCTTCTTGCTGGTGCAGTGGTGAACAGAGTGGGGTAAGAGGAAAAAGGAAAGGGTGAGGGGAAATTAGTAAGCATTGTGTATAAATCAAGAAGAAATACATTTTCTTTGGAGAGGACTTGAGAACAACTGGTATGATCACTAACCAATGCCAGGATAACTGATATACACTCCCCGCAAGTTCATGGGCATGCAAAGGATCAAACTGGCAATGTGGATGTTATTTAGCTAAGGCTTTAGCTAGTCCTATGCTAAATAGGCTAAGTAACCAAAAAGACTCGACCTTGGTAGCTTAAGACCTTGACTCAAAGTATGCCCATTTGTCACCTGGCTTCTGAGACCCACCTTAATCTTTGTCCTTGAACTTTTCCATTCTGAATGTTAGAGGCAAGGAAAGATCAGCTCAAGGAAGAATACAAAAAAGGAAGAGGCTTTTTCTTCCTAAAGACTGGAGGTTACCTGGTTCTTGAGGCCTGACTGTAGGCCTTCCCAAGGTGGAAGCGGGAGTATACTGGGAACGTGGCACCAGGCTTGGAATACCACATGAGAGAGAAAAGCAAGCCAATGAGAAAAGGCAACACATGATGAAAGGCATTTAACCTTTCTTTGGTGTCTCTCCCATTCCAGCTGGATGGTTATATTAGAATCCAGTGAGATTTCTTTAAATGAAGTGGCCTAGGCCAACAGCCATGCATATTGAATGGGCAAATAGAAGCAGTCTCCTCCAAAAAGGAGATAGTTGAGTACAGACTCTATTCAAAATATGCAGCACGCAATCTACCCTTCCACTAATAAGACATAGCTGCTTAGACAAAGCTGCTCAATGGCTTAGTCTGTTTTGTCATTGTTCTTAAATATCTGGCTTAGCATCAAAATGAGAATGGTCAGTAGTTTCCTAGGGCTGCCATAAAATTACCGCAAACTAAATGGCTTAAAACAAGAGAAATGTGTTCTTTCACAGATCTGAGGGCTAAAAGTCTGAAATCAAGGTGTTGGCAGGGCTGCATTCCCTCCTATGACTCTAAAGGAGAATCCTTTGCCTCTCTCAGCTTCTGGTCTCCTGGCATTCTTTGGCTTGTAGACACATCATTCCAATCCCTGCCTCTGTCTTCACACAGCCTTCTCCCCTGTGTCTCTGTGTATCAAATGTCCCTGTCCTTTCTCTTATAGATACCACCTATCACTGTATTTAGGGCCCACCCTGGTAATCCAGGACAATCTTATCTTTATTTTTTCTTTTTTACTTAGAAATTTTAATCCCCCAATCACACTATTAAAAGCTCCTTATAAAACACTAAGCAAAAGCAATCCACAGAAAGAAAAGGAAATATATATATAAATATTTATGCCAAAAGCAGTAGCATTACAAATATCAATTGATTTTAAATAGACTATATCAAGGAAGTAAACAATTTTTAAATACCTTTCAAAAATCTCATTTCATCTTCAGAGTGTTACCTTAATTACAGCTGAAAAGACCCTTATTCCAAATAAGATTCCATGGTGAGGTCCTGGATGGATGTACCTTTTGGGGAACATCATTCAACCCACTACAAGCAGTGACTGCTATTTAGAGCCAGAGAGGCTGCTTACGGTAGACACCCTGAGAAGGAGGTGGGGAGGAATAAAGGTAAAATATGTGTTGATATCCATGAGTATATTAACACCAAGAAATGAGAATAAGAATGGTTAACCCAAACACAGGCAAGTCTAATAGGCCTGACACATGAAACCATTAGCTAAAATTCTTGCTTTGGTGAAACAAGAGCAGAGAGGCCAGAAAGGTGAATAGTCTTCCAAGTAGTAAAAAATTTCCTGATGAGTAGATGCTGTTGGAAAGCACCATCCTAAAGTAACTTGAAGGGGAAGAAAACCTTTTGCCATTATTGTAAGTCTCTGTTTCTCTGAGCCCATCTACCAGTTTCATTGGAAAGAATGAGGAAGTAGGGTGGAAATCACTCTGTTCACTGTGGTATTCCTATGGTTTTGCTCTCCAGGTTACTGCAAAGCCCCAGAAGAGTTTCCGTTTGCCAAACCTACAACCCTGACTGATGAGTCTGAGTTTCCGATTGGGACATCTTTGAATTATGAATGTTCCCCTGGGTATTTTGAGGATATGTTTTCTATCACCTGCTTAGAAAACTTGGTCTGGTCGAGTGCCGAAGGTATCTGTAGACGTGAGTAATGCCATCCTGGGAGCTCCTTCACGTATGTCAAGGCCTCTGTGGGATCCGATTTAATTTGTTCAAATTTTGTAGGCAAGACATCTAGGTTTGCCCAAGGCATTTAAATGGAGGGTAGACTTTTTCAGTCAGCCTTTCCTTCTTTTTTTTTTTTTTAAGATTTATTTATTTATTTGACAGAGAAAGACACAGCGTGAGAGGGAACACAAGTAGGGAGAGTGGGAGAGGGAGAAGCAGACTCCCCACCGAGCAGGGAGCCCAATGCGGGGCTCGATCCCAGGACCCTGGGATCATGACCTGAGCCAAAGGTAGACGCCTAATGACTGAGCCACCCAGGTGCCCTGTCAGTCAGCCTTTCTTATTGCCTGGAGTCTGTGCCTTGACTCGATATTCATGTCACAGGAATGTCTCTCACAAAAGGAATCCCGGGGGAAATTTCCAATCACTGGTATTGATCTTTGATGGCTAAAACCTGGAAATGAATGAAATAGGGACACCAAAGAAAATTATGTAGGTCACAGTGAACGGTGCTTGGCTAACCCAGATGGAGGGGAAATACCAAATTGTGAGGCTGTTAATTTAGGCTGATGGGATGAGAAAATAATTATTTATCCATAAATGACTTTTATTGGGAGATTCAGGAGTAGTCTTTTAAAAAGCAGTGCTCTGTAGCTGCTTGATTCTGAGCTTGTATGGTGAATTTCCTCAAAGTGGTCATTTCTGTGGAGCAATCAGAAGTATATAGGCTGTTCAGTATGCTACACTCTGGGCTGAACCTTAAAAACAAAGGTAAATTGAACTCTACACGTAGCCCCAAATTCTGCTTGTTTCCCATAGGAAAATCATGTGAAGCTCCACCAGAACCCTTCAATGGCATGGTACATATAAACACGGATACCCAGTTTGGATCAACAGTTCATTATTCTTGTAATGAAGGGTGAGTTGAGAGCACTATCACTAGGATATGGGTTCCAGAACAATACTGTCTCTGACCTGGTCTGACACAGGCAGACTAGACTATCACCTGCACTTCAAAAAGTTAGCAATAAGGACTTCTGGGTAGAGATGGTAGCTTGAACATTGGCATATGGACAAAGGAATATAAAAAAGAAGTAGCAATCTCTACTTGTATTTTAATGAGGGGAGGGCACCAGGCTCCTGCTGAAGGTAATACATGTGAAACCTGGTAAGATATTCACTGGATAAAAAGGACCAGCTTGCTAAATGAGTAAAAGGAGAAATGCTAGCGGAACAATGCAGGCAACATTCTTAACTAAGATCAGCAAGTACTATAGCGAGTTGGAGGACCTTGAAGTAGGGATTGGAGAGGAAGTCTTAATGATGCAGTAGCTCTGGGAAAAGTAATTTTAACATGTACACCAAGCAGGATCATTCATGGAGTTCTTGCCCTCAACTCTTCCTTGGCACAGGGAACCATGCTAGATACCACTGCCTCGACGTAGAGGGAGCAATTAAGGAATGTGTACTTTCAGTTGCCACAATAAATTCAGAGAAAAAAATAAGATTTAATTGGATTAGAAAAGGAAACATATATGCATCAGACATATTTGGAAGCCATGAATAACACAAAAATCAAAAAAATCACCACCCAGCATTCTACCACTCATCATAGTTAATATTTTGCTATGAGTTCTTCTAGGATTTTTATCTGAAAATTCACATGTAACTCAGATGTCCATTGAGCTCAGTTGCCCTTAGAAGGGAGAGCTGGTTAAATTGGACACAAGCATCAGTGCCGTATCTGGAAATCATCGATTCTGCCCTCACCACCACCCTCCTGCCCCCAACAAGGACTTCTGATTTCTTAGTTCATCAGTCCTTCAAATGACTGTAGCCCCAGTCAACATCAATGATGTTATCAAGACAGTGAAAAGAGAGCCCACAGATTGGCAAAGAATATTTGTAAATCATTTCTCTAACAAGGATTTCATACACAGATTATATAAAGAAGTCCTGCAATTCAACAACAGAAATGCTTACAATGCAATTGAAAAAATGGGCAAAGGATTGGAATAGACATTTCTCCAAAGAGGATATACAAATGTCCAGGAAACACATGAACAGATACTAAATATTAGTCATTAAAAAAACACATCAAACCCATTTCACATGTTATAGGATGGATCTAAAAAAAATTTTTTTTAATGAAAAATAAAGTATAGGGAGGATGTAGAGAAAATGGAACCCTGTGGTTGCTAGTGGGATCCCTAGTGGGCATGTGAACTGGTGCGGCCTCTGTGGGAAGCAGTTCAGTGATTCCAAAGTTACCATGGAATTACCATGTGACCCAACAATTCCAATCCTAGGTATGTATCCACACAGATTGAAAACAGAGACTCAGACAGATAAGGGTTTATCAGCTGTTCTACCTATTTCTACGTACATCCTGATAAATTATATTTTTCCTACAAAATGACACATCTCACAGATGTTTTCAATTTCATTGGGATAGAGAGGACATAATATTTTTATAAAGTATTTTATAATGTGTCTTTTATAAAAATTTCCTCAATATCTATGATTATAACTATTTTCTCATTCTTGTGTATCTGTAGATTTGTTCTTTTGTGAAGTTACAATTGACCAAGATTTGTTTGTTTTAATCAGCCTTTAAAGAAACTGCTCTTAGATTTGTTTATCATTTCTACTCTATTTAAAGAAACTGCTCTTAGATTTACTTATCATTTCTGTTCTGTTTTTCATACTTATTGATTTATTAATTCCTCAGACCAGCTTCCTTTATATGTTCATGTTTATAGTCTTTAAAACATCTAAAGTAAAACATTGGGTTCATTTATTTGAAAATTTTCTTTTTTTATTTTTTTAAAGATTTTATTTATTTATTTATTTATTTATTTATTTATTTATTTGAGAGAGAAAGAGTACAGGGGTTGGGGGCAGAGGGACAAGCAGACCCCCCACTTAGCACAGAGACGTGGGGCTCGATCCCAGGACCCTGAGATCATGACCTGAGCCAAAGTCAGATGTTTAACCAACTGAGCCACCCAGGTGCCCCTGAAATTTTTCTTGTCAAATAACAAAAGTATTAAATTTTCTCTAAAGACAGTTTTGGCATTAGCACCCCAGAAATTTTCAACGAGTAATATTTGCATCAGCATTTATAATGAAGGCACTGAATAATGTCGGGTTTATCACTACAGGCTGCTGAGGCCAATTGACATTCAAACTCTAACCTCAATATCTGTCATGTGAATTTGAACAGATTTGTTAAACTCTGTTTTCTCTCTTATAAAATGGGAGCTAGGCATAATATTCACTTCAAAGCATTATTTTAAAGATTAAGTAAGTGAATCTATGTTAAACACTTTGAAGAGTGGAGCACATGACTCACTGATCATGTGTTACTCTTATCCTACAAGTAATCTGCAATGGCTGTTTTATTTTTGTCTTTGACCAAGATCCAAACTTTTGAATTTTGTATTTATCCTGTGGTTATTAAATTGCTAGTGTTATTGTATTATAATGAGAGTGTATAGCTGTTTTGATTTTTCCTATGTGCAAATTTATTGGGGTACACTCTGAGGAATGATATGTTACAACTTTTATAAATGGCTCCTAGAAAGAAAGCTTACATTCTCTGTAAGATACAAAGTTTAACACACAGTTGAATGTGCTGCAGAATCATATCTGTGAGCTACTTTTAATCATTTGCAGCCTATTGAATGTCTCCATAGAGCCCCTCTACTCCAAACTAGTTGAAAGTCCTTGAACAAAATAGGAAGGACAGAGTAGCACCATGTTCCAGCCCCTACATATCCCATCCCTGACCTTATGTAATAGCCTCTCTAATGTCTGTCTCAGCATGCTTCTGCACAGTGTGCCTATTGCCTGTAAGGAAGGGAATCTCATGGCTCTTCTTGATCAGTGGTTTAGCTTCATGGCCACCTGAATTCCTAATGTCCAGGGAAGCTAAGGAGTAGGCTTGAGTAAAAGAATTTCAGAGAGATGGGAAATCAAGTCAGAAAAATTACAACATAATTGCTACTGGAGAGCGTATTAGTGTTTCATAATACATTCAAAAATACTCCGTTTTTTACAGCCATACATAGACTGGAACCTGCCTCACATTTTTTACTTCAATTCTCTAACTTAGTCATAGTGAACACATTAAAAGCAATGTCTGTAGTCAAAAGTCAGGGGACATCCATGATCCTGTGCTCATAAGACAACTGTTAAATGCATGATAGGAGAAAGGCAGAGGGAAATACACTACTGCTTCTCAAATTGTTTCTTTGAAGAAATTTTGAAGAGTAAATTTTGTTGGCACATTTGAAAAGATTTTACAACATAGTTAATAAAAAAAAAAACAAGCAACAATAAGTAAAACTCAATCACTACCTAAATATAAAAGTGACTCAATGTGTCTACAAAAGTATTCACTGCCATTGCTCTACCCACATAGTTCCCGTCACCTTTATATCACTGATTTTGGAAGACCTGGTATATAAGTTAGGATTAGATTAAGCTGTAAAAGACAGGACAAACAAAATAACAGAGGCTTAAATAAGATAATATTTTACTTCTGTCTCAGGTTAAGAAGCAGGGGCAGTTCTCCAAGAAAACAGTAAAATGTACAAATCCAGGACTAAGTTAAGGTGGCTCCATGATCTGCATAAACCTGGGATCCTTCCATTTGAGACTGTGTCATCCCATGGTCCAACTCCAGCCAGCAAAGAGAAACAATGGAAGAAAGGAATACCCATCCCTTTAAAGACACTTTCCAGAAGTTTCACAAGACACTCTAGGTGCATCCCTGCAGCCAGAACTTGGTCACATGGCTATACACAACTGTAGGGAACCTTTATGAATGTGGCCAATGGCCCAGTTAAAAATACAGGGTTCCATCACTAATGCCAAAGAGGAAAGTAGACACTAGAGATACCGGTAGACTCTGCTACAAGTGGTTACTGCCCTGATCACATGTCTTGGGTAATCAAAAAGCAAAGCTCTTAGCTGTTCCAGTAACTACTCACTATTATATTACATTACATTATACCCCTTACCTTTTTACTTAGTCAAGTTTAACCCTACTCTACGTGGAATGTGTGAATAGCTTAGTTGAATATCCTTTGTGACATTTCTTACAATAACAATATAGATACCTAATAAATAAAAATATAAGTGATGATGAAATGTTCCAATCTTTGTGACCTACTTTGAATGATTTTATGGCACAATAGGTAAGTACTCCCTCCTTTTACATATGAGTCATCTTAGCAAAGCCAGCATCCTATCCTTCACTCAACAGCTATTTTTTGAGTACCACGTGGTTGAAAGTCTCTAGGCAAGGTTCTAGAGAATGTAAATATGTCAATAAGACATCTTCCCTGTTAATCCAGGAGCTTATCATTTCCCAGATGGAAGTACTACATAGAGAGAATAGCTCTTGAGGTTCCATAAAGACAAGTACAAAATGTCCCATTAGAAGGGCATCATTGCATTCAGTGGTGAGGGACTAGCAATAAACATGGATGAAAGCGGTGAGAATGTAAACGTCCTTAGAAGTAAAGGACCAATTTGCAGATGGAGATGAAGTTTCTTCCTTGGCGTCTCCTATGTTTTAATCTGCCCGTAATTTGTAACATCTACCTGCAATTCTTTTCTCATGGTAACTTAAGTAGAAAATAAGTGTAGAGTATAATTTTCCATTCTTTGCTTCTAGGTATCGACTCATTGGCTCTCCTTCCGCGGCTTGTCTCCTCTTGGGCAGTACGGTCACTTGGGATAAGGAAGCACCTATGTGTGAGGGTGAGTTGAAGTGGTTTTTTTTTCCCTCAGTTCCCTCTGTTCCATCCAAATCTGTCCTGTGTTACAAAGAGGAAATCCAGTCCATCTTGCAGAGAGTAGTCTCTCAGATATTCAAAACTTGGAGTCATGTGCTGCATAGTCCTCCAGGTGTTTCTTTATTTTAGGAGGTTATTTTCTGGAACTCACGTAAAATTGCCTTACTTTCCTAATTTGATAGTAAACACTTTCCAGGGTAAAAATTCTCCTCATGACTAAATTTAAAAGACAGTGAAAAAAATAAAATTTGTCTCTACCACCTCTTAATAGCACATTATAAGCCCAAGAAGTAGATTACTGCCTTCCTTATTATTTTTACTCTGAAAAATGAAATAAGATCTCATAAATCTTAATGATTGCCCTAAGCCACAGGTCATCTTGCACTTTATCCTTTCTTCAAATTCTTCCAGGTTCATGCCCTGGTTGCATTTGTTCTTTATTAGTTGACCCTGCATCTTTTCAGTGAGATGTTGTAAGGTGAACTTCCAAAACTCTGAGGAGCATGGATGGGTGACAGATTGCAAATTGGTAAAATATTAAGGCTGGAAGAAATCAGGATCACACACAGAACTGATGACAAGTGAAAGTGGGCATAAACATCTGGAAGGCTTATGAGCAATATATACAAAAGCCTTAATGTAAATGCCCTTTCACCTAGTAATTCTATTTCCCAGAATTTATCCCAAGGAAATAATCATGGAATTTTCCCATGATTTTGGTCCACAGGCACTCAGTGCAACAATATTTAGGACAGCAGAAAATGTTAAAAATCTAAATGCTCAGCATGATTGGAAAACAGCTAATGGAAGAAGTTTGATAAGTTTTGAAGAAAGAAAGGCAAAAGTATGCCACGAGAAATTGGAGATTGAGATGCCTCACCCGAGTGGAAACAGATAGTGTATTTATGTTATCTACATGCCTGAATATTATTCAGCCACCAAATATGATCCTGTAAAAAATATATTCATAGCCACAGGAGCATATGAATACATACATATCTGAAACAATATACATTAAGTTGCTAAAAATCGTTCTTTGTTGCTAAAAATCGTTCTTTTTGGACCATCGTCATTTTCTTCTTTTTGCTTGTCCATATTTTATAAATTTTCCCTAAGAAATGTGTTCATTATATTCACAAGTATTCATAAAAAGAAAATAACATTGGCTTTTCAAGATTCAAAGAAATGGATGAGGAGCCATATACAAGGTGTCTCCTTTACCTGCCAAAAATTTAAAATTCTCTGAAAAATATTCAAAATAGGAAGATACCATCAATTACCATATTAATTTTCCAGGGGGATGTCTTTCATGAAAAATGTTTCCACATCTCTATTTATAGGTCAATAAACCTTTAACTGAGTCAGTATTGGTTATCCATATACGTGTATGCAAACATGTATGTAGGCACTTACATGAGTATTTAAAAATTATTACGTGATGATAGAACATAGTAATCATTTGCCATTTACCTCTGAATCTGTGAATATTTCATTTCTCATGCCTTATCTTGTATATTTCTTTTCTCCCTTTTTTTTGAAATATATTTGACATACAGCATTGTGTAAATTTAAAGAGTACAGCATGTTAATTTGTTACTATCATAAATTGTAATATGATGCCATTGTAGTGATAATTAACACTTCTATCACTTTAACATAATTATCCTTTCTTTTTAGTAGTTAGAATAATTAAGTTCTCATCTCCTAGCACATTTGATGATCATCATACAATATTGTCTAATGCAATGTGCTGTGCATTATATCCCTAAGCGTTTCTTTACTACTCATTGGAAGTTTGTACTATTAAACAACATCTGTCCTGTCCCGCCACACCCTGACCCCTGGTAATCACCATTTTATTCTCTATTTTTACAAGTTTGGCTTTTTTTACATTCCACATGTAAGTGGTACTGTATAATACTTGTCTTTCTCTCTCTGACTTATGTTACTTGGCATAACGTACTCGAAGTCTCTCCATGTTGCAGCAAATGGCAGGATGTCCTCCTCTCTCATGGCCGAATAATATTCCATTGTATGTAGGCACCACATCTTCTTTATCCATTCATCTATTGTTGGACACAGTTGTTTACAAATCTTGGCTGTTGTAAATAATGCTGCAATGAGATGGGCTGCATATATGTTTTTGGGCTTTGTTTATTCATTTGAGAGAGAGAGGGAGCACAAGCAAGTGCATGAGAAGGGGGGGCAGAGGGAGAGGGAGAAGCAGACTCCCCACTAAGCAGGGGGCCTGATGCTGGACTTGATCCCAGGACCCCAGGATCATGACCTGAGCCAAGGGCAAGGCTTAACCGACTGAGCCACCCCAGGCGCCCCATATGTTTTTGAGTTAGTGTTTTACTTTTCTTTGGATAAATACCCAGAGGCGGAATCATATGGGTAACTGGATCATATGGGAGTCCTATTTTTAAATTTTTTAGGACCCTCAATACTGTTTTCCATTGTAGCTGCCTCAATTGTGTACAGGAGTTATCTTTTCCACACCCTCATCAGCACTTGTTAAAATTTGTCTTCTTGCTGATGGCCATTCCACTGGGCATGGAGTGACACCTCATTGTGGTGTAGATTTACATTTCCCTGATGATTGGTGATGTTGAGCATCTTTTCATGTACCCGTTGGCCATTTCTGTCTTCTTAAGAAAAAGGTGTATTTAGGGGTTTTTGCCCATTTTTTTACTGAAGTATAATAAACATACAGTATTATATCAGTTTCAGGTGTACAATATAATGATTCAACAATTCTATGCCTTACTCAGTGCTCAGCAAGATAAGTGTACCCTTGCCCTTCTTAAATCAGATTGTTTGGGTTTTGTTATTGAGTTGTATGAGTCCTTTGTATATTTTGGAAATTAACCCCTTATCTGATATATTGCTTGCAAAATGCTCTTCCGTCCTGTAGGTTGCCTCTTCATTTTCTTAATTGTCTCTTTTGCTGTGCAAAAGTTTTCAGGTTTCTTGTAGTCCCATTTGTTGATTTTGCTCATTTGTGCTTTTAGTGTCATATCCAAAAAGTCATTGCCAAGACCAATGTCAAGGACACTCTTCTCTTCACTTTCTTCTGGGAGTCTTATAGCATCAGGTCTTATATTTAAGCCTTTGATCCATTTTGAGTGAATTTTTTTTGAGTGCTGCTCTTGGCTCTCTTGTCAACTATAAATTGGCTGTATAACTAGAAACTTCATTCTGAGCTCTCTATTCTGTTCTATTGGCCCATGTATCTGATTTTGTGCCAGTACCATACTGTTTTTATTACTGTAGCCTTGTAGTGTAGTTTGAAATCCGAATGTGATACCTGCAGCTTTGTTCTTATTAATCAAAATTGCTTTGGCCAATCTGGGTCTTTGTGTGTTGATTTGTGTTTACGTGGTGGTTCCAGACAAATTTTACGATTTTTTTTTCTATTTCTATGAAGAATGCCATTGGTATTTTGATGTGGATTGTGTTGAATCTATAGATGGGTTTGGGTAGTATAGATGTTTTCACAATATTTATTTTTCCAATGTATGAACATAGGTTGTCTTTCCATTTGTTTGTGTCTTGTCTGATTTCTTTCAGCCAGGTCTTGTAGTTCTCATTATACAAATTTTTCACTTACTTGGTTAAACTTATTCCTAAATATTTTATTCTTTTTGATGTTATTGTTAATGGGAAAGTTTCTTGATTTCTTTTCCAGATGTTTCATTCTTAGTGTATAGAAAAGCAAATGATTACTGTATCTTGATTTCATATCCTGCAACTTTACTGAAATCACTGATTAGTTCTAAGTGTTTTTTGTTTGAGTTTTTTGGATTTTCACTCTACAGAATCATATCATCTGCAGATAGTGACAGTTTTACTTGTTCCCTCCCAGTTTGTGTGAATTTTTTTTTTTGAACTTTGGATAGTTTATTCTACATGCAACCTTCTCCTTTACATATACTCACATCAGGCATATATCACATAAATCGCATAGATCTTGAATATTTTCTACATTAATATGTGACAGGATGAAAATAGGGTTAGAGTGCTTTCACGTTTTTACACATCTTCATTTTACCATATTTAAGTATTCCAGTTCTGATTTATATCTTTTTTAAATTTTTTATTGTTATGTTAATCACCATATATTACATCATTAGTTTTTGATGTAGTGTTCCATGATTCATTGTTTGTTCATAACACCCAGTGCTCCATGCAGAATGTGCCCTCTTTAATACCCATCACCAGGCTAACCCATCCCCCTACCCTCCCTGCTCTAGAACCCTCAGTTTGTTTTTCAGAGTCCATCATCTCTCATGGTCCATCTCCCCCTCTGACTTACTCCCCTTCATTCTTCCTCTCCTGTTATCTTCTTCTTTTTCTTTTTTCTTAAAATATGTTGCGTTATTTGTTTCAGAAGTACAGATCTGTGATTCAACAGTCTTGCACAATTCACAGTGCTCACCGTAGCACATACCCTCCCCAATGTCTATCACCCAGCCATCCCATCCTCCCACCCCCAACCACTCCAGTAACACTCAGTTTGTTTCCTGAGATTAAGAATTCCTCATATCAGAGAAAGACATGTATCACATGACCTCACTGATATGAGGAA